ATCTTGCCATAACCGGTTGGATCATCTCCAGATCTTACCTTCACTGGTTGGATCATGTCCAGATCTTGCCTTGACCGGTTGGATCATGTCCAATTCTTGCCTTGACTAGTTGAATCGTGTAAGATAAGACGGAAAGTGAATACTTTACGAGATATTTTGAATTTTTTCATATTGCAACTTTGGAGCTTTATAACTCGAAAAGTACTCAATGAAGAAACATTTCATTACAATGTTTTGGAAAGCTCTCGAGGTCAGCTACAAGAATATGTAATAAAAAATAGGGAAAAAAAATTGAGGTGACTTTCATGTGACTTTCAAATAATTCTTCAAGGTCAAAGCAATGATACCATCTTATAGTCCCCTCGAAACCAAACAACTTTTGTCTGAAAAATTTTTTTCTCCCGTGCTTGGTTTTCGATATATTCGACTGGATGTATTAAAATGGTCCACCCTGTATATAGCAGGAGTATCTAAACAAATTTAGAAAAAATCATCCACTGTCATACACAATACATGTCTTGAAGATAATTTGGATTTAACTAAAATTTGTGATATAAGTATTCATACATTTAATGAAAACATCAATGATGATACATGTAATGTTAAAAATATAATATCTGAAACAAAAATCATATTTTGCAATGTTCAAATGATAATAATATAACTGATATGCAAATAGACAATTATGATTATGATGATGATAATAATCATGCGAATGACACTCACAATTCTACCTTAGAAAGTAAAAGTAAATATGATAATGATGATGATGATGACAATAAATTTAAAAATGCTGTAGCTACATGGGCTGTTTCATATAATATTAATCATAACGCATGTAATGCGTTAATAAACATTTTACGACAATTTACATCATGTAATTTCCCAAAGGATATAAGAACATTATTACGAACTCCACGACAAATTCATGTTATAAGTGCTTGTGGTGGAGAATATTTTTATTCGTGTTTGGATAAAGTTATTAAACAAATATTATTAAAATCAGTAGGTATAGTAGGCCGGTTCTAACCCCTGGTCCTCCGAGGGGGTTGAGGAGCGGAGGGTATGACATCCCGGGGGGTATGACGTCACGGGGAGTATGACGTCAAGGGGGATTGCATCACCGGGGGGTGGGTATGACGTCACCGCGGGGGGGTATCATCGGTCGGTAATTGAGGGGGGGGCATACCGATGTTACCGGCGGTCGGTAATTTTTACCGATATTATATAACATTTAATTACATAATTTTTACCAACATATAATTACACAATCGATAGTACCGACAATCGGTAATTTATAACCGATATTATATACCAACATTTAATTTTTTACCAATATTTAATTTTTTACCAACATATATTTACATAATTTTTACCAGAATATTTACATAATACTAACGATCGGTAATTTATTACCGATATTATATACCAACATTTAATTTTTTACCAATATTTAATTTTTTACCAACATATATTTACATAATTTTTACCAGAATATTTACATAATACTAACGATCGGTAATTTATTACCGATATTATATACCAA